TGGGAATGTTGACCAGCAGTGTACTACTTGTGTAGTTTAACTCACTTACTTATCCTCTGTTATAATAATGCTATCCCTACTTATATTATATTCTAAGAAAAAAGCATATCACAACTGCTTTGTATTTATAAATGGACGTTGTCCATTTTCTTTCATGACACGCACATCATTTAATACTTCCGACAATACAGCACAAGAAAGATCTCATAATAAATCCTCATTTCTAAGGATACGAACAAATATAGCTAAACGGAATTAGTATAAAACAAACGAAAACAGTAATGATGCCCTAACTACACCTAAGCCTCAATAACGTACGCATTAAAATGACTTTAATAAATGATAACTTTAGGCAACTATAATAAAACAATAAATTAATAAAAAAAAACAATTGGCTTGTACACTTTAAATATTTGCAGGCAAATTAAATATTTTGTCAAAAATTGTCTATATCCAATTCAGTAATGACAACTGCTTACTTTTCAATATCTACTACATTACTTTTAGTAGCATATCCACTCGGAGACCATAAGGTCCATTGTGAGTATCTTCACAGAGTGAAGGTTAAAAAAAGTCAAAGAAATGACTAATTCCCTTGACAAAACCTAGTAGACTGCGAGGGTCAAGACCCACAATATCCCCCATTTCGCCATGGAATCTATTCCCCAGTTATTTCAGCCTGAGAAATCGATTCTATTTCCTTCTCATCTTCGCATAACCTGAAATAGTCAGGTATATATGTATTTCTGTCTCACTTACTGACTTAGGCCCTAACAGAGCAATGGCCCGTTAGCATCCCTATCTGAATTATTAGACTGCGTTCATCCAGTTCTATAAGTATTTTGGTAGCTCAAGTATCAAGTTTTGACCATAGGGACTTTGATACTTTGCAATCTAATTTACTATTCCAAGACCGGTTTATGATGTTACGGATTCTTTCGAATATCAGCCTATACTTAATACTGACAAATGGGTGGTTTTACCATCTGTCATCTATATCAAGGTTCGAACCTAATCTTGCAAGTTTGTCCGCAAACCCATTAGAATGCATATTAAAGTGGCCCGGCACCCAACACAATCTAAACGAAAACAAACAAGCCTATGCTCTAAAAGCAGCTTGACTATTAACATAAATTGTCACAATTGACCCCGGATCGATACGATTCCGTATCAATACCGTCGCTTTCCAAATCGCTATGATCTCTGCTTGGAAGACACTACATTCGTCAAGAAGTTTTTTTGGACCCATCAGTGAAAACTGCACACCCACCAAACATTCCATCGGATACAAGCCAATCATCTCTAGTTGGAAATTCCCCGAAGCCTAGAGTCGTAATATCGTAATCCGAAATTCCACGAGCGGAATTACCCTGATCAAGTAGACCTATGTATTTCGTACAGAATTTTTATGGTCGTCGCAGGAACGTTTGACTACTGAAGCAGATTCCTAGCCGCCACGCCTGCTACAAAATGTTCTATGGGTGACAGGTATAGACTTATGTCAAAGGCAGATTGTGGAGTGCTTCTAATGGTACCAGTAATGTCAATAGAGGCACATCTTTGAGCTTTATTGATCATTGTCCTGGTAGAAACCCCTGACGAATTTAATTATGCTGTCATGATTCAAATATATTTTTATTTTAGGAAGTTCTATTAATTTACTAAAAATCGTAGTCGAATATCACTAATAATACCAGGGTAAAGGGGGGAAAGAGACGAGCAAACAGAACATATCGAAGCCACGAGAAGCTAGAACGTAGCTTCTGAAACGAGCGACGAGCTAGCGAGCGAGAGGACACTATAGTAGATAGCGAGCGAGCTAGCCTAGCGAGAGCGAGCGAGCGAGCGAGCGAGCGAGCGAGCGAGCGAGCGAGCGAGCGAGCGAGCGAGGAGCGAGCGAGCGAGCGAGCGAGCGAGCGAGCGAGCGAGCGAGCGAGCGAGCGAGCGAGCGAGCGAGCGAGCGAGCGAGCGAGCGAGCGAGCGAGCGAGCGAGCGAGCGAGCGAGCGAGCGAGCGAGCGAGCGAGCGAGCGAGCGAGCGAGCGAGCGACGAGCGAGCGAGCGAGCGAGCGAGCGAGCGAGCAGCGAGCGAGCGAGCGAGCGAGCGAGCGAGCGAGCGAGCGAGCGAGCGAGCGAGCGAGCGAGCGAGCGAGCGAGCGAGCGAGCGAGCGAGCGAGCGAGCGAGCGAGCGAGCGAGCGAGAGAGCGAGCGAGCGAGCGAGCGAGCGAGCGAGAGCGAGCGAGCGCGAGCAGCGAGCGAGCGAGCGAGCGAGCGAGCGAGCGAGCGAGCGAGCGAGCGAGCGAGAGCGAGCGAGCGAGCGAGCGAGCGAGCGATCTATCTATCTATCTATCTATCTATCTATCTATCTATATCTATCTATCTATCTATCTACTATCTATCTATCTATCTATCTATCTATCTATCTATCTATCTATCTATCTATCTCTATCTATCTATCTATCTATCTATCTATCTATCTATCCATTTATCTACCTACCTACCTACCTATATATCTCTATATATAATAGCGTGATGTTTGTTCGTAAGGTAGCATATGATCGGCCACGCCCGACTATACTTTCTTACTCGTTGTCGTCTATTTTGTTTTCGTGAAACAAAACAACTTATTTAACTACCAATTTGTAAGCGATCGTGGTAATGACTTATTTACCTCCCGAGAGGATATCATCGCGAATAAATAAATAGCGTAAAGACGTTTTAATCGTTTTTTTAACTGATTACATTTCAATGCAAGTTTTTGCTTGGTTTGTAATATAAGTATATTACGCGTAATTATTTTATTATATTTGTAATGTAATAACGTTTTAATAATTGTGCTCATTATTTATAAGAGGCAGCAGATAGACATATAATTATAAGTAATTTATATCTAAATTTAATCTACCGAAAAATGGTTGTCAAAGCAAACCACAGACATTGGATAATCATTGTGACTTTAAAACCCGCCATTCGGAACTCTCTGGTGGAAAGCTACCAACTAGTATATTTTAATAATGTGGGTGGTAAATGGTGCTGTACTTACATTTAAAATTATCATGAGTGTATTTGTTTTAATTTTTTTATTTCTCATTTTATTCGTAGTTTTTTTTTTGTGGTTTTTCTTTTTTTTTAAATAAGTTTGTTTCATTTTTTATTATTATTACTCATACATGTAGTCACTTGTATGTATGTGATTGCAATATGTAATTATATAGGTATGTGTGTTTATTATTTTTTTTTCATTTACTTTTTTGTGGTTTTGCACAAGGTAATGTTGTATGTCCTTAGGTGTCCTTGTGATAATACCATTTTAACCATACACTACTCTCATGTTATTGTACAATATTGTATTAGTATAGACTGTTTTTTAGTTTGTGTGTTGTTATTTTTTATATTTAACAATAAAAACGATGGTGAATGTATTGATTTTGTCATATCATATGTAACACATCAAAATATTGGCTATAAACACACTAAAGTATATTCTGGATTATTTTAGATTTTAAGAGAAAAAGGAAATAGCTAGGCCCTTAAAATTCACAAATGTTATTTAAGGTTAGTTTTGTATTGAAAACTGGCCATATCGGTCTACGATTTCACATAGCTGCACATACAAATTACCCCCCAGAATACATTTTAGACATAATTATCGTAATGAAATTTCTTAACTATTTTAAAGAAGCCTTTTTGGAAAACATCCTGATGTTTAAAGTAATAAGTATGTTTGATTAAAAAAGCTTAAGAGACCATCCATATAGCCCTATATTTGCATATTGGGCCGACTTCAGAAATTCACTGTAAATTTAGAACACAAGCTTTGATGTTGGGTATATAAAGTTCGGCTTAGCCTAGCTATGTATATTTATTTACTAACCTCCCGTTAAAAATATGATTGTATATACAACATATGTATTTGTTTTAAATGGATTTTATTTGTAAGTGTGAGTGTAAAGAGTTTTTCCAATTCAAAGGTAAAAATCATTTTTTTCTACAAGTACATGGCGGTTTAAAAAGCACTTTAAGTTTGATTTCCATTATTTTTCTTGTATTTGTTTTTTGGACGAAAAAAAGAAAAAAGGAACCAAAAACTAAAATAGAAAATCTCGTTTTTTGTTTGTTTTTCTTTTTTTGTTATTTTTTTTTTTTTGGAAGTAGAATTTTAAATGAGTTTCTTCTGTACGATAAACTTGTCCTTGCTGTTGATTTTTTTTTTCTTTAAAATAAAACTACTATTTTATATGATGGTACGAGCACAAAACATTGTTATACCCTCTCATTATTGTGTTTTTATTTAAGTTTTATCGTAGAAGTTAAAATAATCGATGGTTTTGATTGTTTCATTTTACTGGCATTTTTCTTTAATTTGTTGCTAAAAGAATTTTGCATGTTGATGATGAAACAATTTACAGTGTTAAAAATCTCAGTTATTTTAAATTGGGCAATGAATGACTGAAGAAACAGAACAGGAGTTCGGAGTGAAGAAATTGTTTTTCAAAATTGAAATTTTATTTAAAAAGGTAGTTTTTGCTACAAGTCAAATAATTAATTTAAATGTTAAATATGACGTGACTGACAATGAGAGAACGATTATTAGAATGAGCAACCATTACACATAGGAAATTATGTATGTATATGTATACACAGACAAGGGTATATCAAATAAGAATAACTAATTTAGATCTAACAAGTGCACTAGATCCTTGATAAGTAAACTAATTTGTTTCTATTCATTTTCTAAATTTAGAACGCGAATAAATTGGAAATTGCAAATAAAAAGTTTTAAAGCCATCAATGGGTGAATCATTTGGGTTCAAGTTTAAAATAAGTTCTTCTTCAAAGATCGCAACAAAAATTAACAATTGCTTGATATGTTGTAATAACATGTTAAAACTTATTTAGCAACATCCAATAATATTAATGTTTAAAGTTATTTTGACATTTACATATAACATATGTATGTATAATTAATTTGATTTTCTTTTTTTATTAAATTTAATTTCAGAATGGTCCAATTTTAATAAAGGAACAAGAGTGATTTCGACACAATTCTGGATTATTTGACATTTAAAGGGTAAGTCATCTCATTAATTTTTGTTAAATAAATTCTGTCGAAGCCCCGCAATTGTTCAACTTTGTTCTAAAAATTATGTTTAAAAATCTCCAAACTTTATTTTATGGTTCTTTCGTTAAATCTCGGCTACCGTGAACAAAATATTTAATGGTCACACATTTTCTGTTAAATATTTTATGAATGCGAACGTAACTTAAGAGTATGAGATTGTTAACTGGCATTGGCATTGTAATAAAGAACTGAACATGGATATTTTAGTTATTATTGTAATAGTTACTTTTTACATGTACATGTATTGCATATAAATATTTTTAAATATACATACATATGTATGTATGGACATGTGTATATGAAAATACATATGTTTATATACGAAGTAATCAGCAATTATATATGACCTTAACACATTGAGTCATACCATCCAATCTCTCTATAAATATACTTTATATACTTGCATACTTATGTGCATGAATATTCTTGTGAATTTTACTTTCATGTATGCATGTGAGGATAGAGTGTCCCGAGTAACATCATTTAATATAATATCTTAGTAAATTTCTAAAATTTTCTTCTTTCTTCTGAAAAATAATGTTTCGATACCAAGATGGACATTTATATTAAAGTTTTTAACACAGAATTGATGTCACTTAAAATTTATTTAAGTGACATTAAGGATTATGCCAACACGTTTTCCGGAAGAATTGGATTGAACCAAATTTTGTAAACACATTAAGGAAGGTCCACTAGAATGAGAACTGACCATTTTATACTCTTCACCACCATCAGTGGTGATAGAGGGTGTCATTCCGTGTGCAACACCAAGAAATATTCCTCTGAGACCCAATAAAGTATATATATTCTTGATCATTATGAAATTCTGAGTCGATTTAGCTATGTCCGTATGTCTGTCTGTCAGGTTAAAACGAAGAAATATAAATTCACGAAATTCACCCAAAACATTTATTATCCCATACAGTTTGGTATTGAATATCAGTAAAATCGGTTCACGACGTAAAAAGTTATGAGTAAAAATTTCAGACTACCTCGAAAAAATAAAGTTTTTTTCCAATTCTTAAGAAGTTTTTTCAGAAACTACCAAAGATATTTCAGTGAATTTTGTCACACATTATTTTTTTACTACCAGGGATCAAGTATGTTCAAACTCATAACAATTGATCAAATATTTCCCACAGCCCCCATACAAATGTATATATTCCCAGAAATAAGTTTATCGTTAATAACTCCCTCAAATATATCGGTATCAAGACAAGACAATTTTGTACATGTAAATATAATATGAATGCAAATCATACTACCAACGTAGATCTCAGTCGGTCCACAATTGGTCATCCCACTTCCGAAAATCTCCTAAACGCACATATTTCATTGATAAATAAGGCTATTGTGATAAAATTCGAGCTGAATATGTTTTGTGTACATAAAAATCATTCTACAAAGTCACTTGAGTGAGATCATTTCTCGGTTTTGGTATCATAACTATCTCGGATATGATTTATCTATACCAGGTGATTTTCTTGCTTTTAGACCTTTGATTGTTTTTATAATTTTGAGTAAACACATTCTTCAAATGATTGGCGAATGCTTCAATATTTTCTGAGGTATTTCTTGCCCATTCACGATTCTGGAGGCGTATGGGTGACTCATACGCAGTAGGGCATTGCATATTTTTGACTGCTTTCCAGAGACTTTATTATGTTTTCTTTGTTGGGTCTAAGTTTTTGAGATAATTTTCAAGATTAGATTCCTTATTATATTTTAAGGTGATATGAAGTATTCTTTGGCACTGATTAAGTTTAACCTTTATGTTCGGAGATCGTGATTATTGCCATTGACGTCAAAGTATACCCATTTCTTTTATGAGAAATGTTTCTAGAATGTTTCGTATTTCTGTGGTCTCTCAAGGTGACTTTGACAGCATCTTGTAAAATATCTGTATATATATCGACAATGGATTGTATTTCAAGGTAATTTTTTAGTGAGATGTTTTGTGGCAAGTGTGAGCCAACATATTTTTTATACTTTAACTAGTTCGTCATCTTGTAAGGGAAATAAGAATAATAGTTTTCTATTTTATTTGGAGTTTCTAATAACGTTAAAACTGCAGGCGACTGGTTTGATGAGAGTTTCAGATCAAAGCAAAGTTCATTAGATCGGCGATCTTATTGAGGTCTGTAGGCCAATAAGTAGGTTAGCCACTAGATCTAGTCTGTTATGTGATATTGCTTCTAACAATTGCCTCCCTCTGGGAGTAATGAGACTATAGCCCCAAAATTTATGTTTTGCATTATAATTACCATATGTTTTTGTATCATAAGCGTAGTATCCCTTAAAATTAGCCGTATACTTAATATTTGTAATATCAATAAATCATTAACACGTATACGTACAGGTGTCGTCAGTAAAAGCAGTACAATTTCACAATGTAAAACTTTCCACTTGAAATAAAAGAATGAAGATGAAGTTTTTTTTTGATTTTATATGTTCACATTATTATATTTATAGTTTTTGTTTTATGCTAAATTAAAATACCCATTGGTATTGGACTACATATTGTTATTTTGTTCCACAAACATGTTCAAAATCTTTTACGAAATTTACACTTAAAACCTCAATTAAAATTTCTTGCAATTTCATTTGATTTAATTAATCTTTTTTCCTTTTTAATTCCTGCCAATTGCTTTAGTGTTTAATGTGATTTTATTGTATTTATAGTATTTTCTGCTTAATTAATTTTTGTTTTTCTTTCATTTATTTAAGTAGCAATAGCATCTGTTTCTTCCTGTTACATAGAAATTCCTTAAAAATTCAATGAAATTTGTAAACAAAACTCTTTACTTGTTTCACTAGGAAGGCACTTAAAATTGAGTTTTCTTTGGGGTTTCTTGTTTTTGCGAGAAGAATGATGATGATTCATTTATAATGTCAATGGTTATTTTTGTTATTTGTTACCCTCATTTTATATTTCCACATAAATGTATAGTTTTTGTTTATATTTTCGTTTATTTTTTTTTAGCATAGATTTAATGACGACAATATTTGTTGCAATTTGACTTTGGATTTGGCTTTTGCAACAACTATGTATTGTGTTGCACATAGAATGTAGTTGTTCTTTCTTGTATATTAAATTGTCGAGTGCAAATCTTTCTCTAAAAATAGTATGAAGGTTGATGGGTTAGTGGGTTTATTCTGTTGCTGCTGCTATGCTGCTGTTGTCAATGTTGCTGTTGCCTTATTTTTTTATATTTCACTTTAGTTTTTCATTTCCAACACCAACGGAATAAAACTAAACTCAACTTTACGTTGAGCTTGTGAAATCTATACAAAAGAAAGGCAAAATTCTATACCAAATTGTATTGTTTGGTATAGAATGGTTGATATTTTACCATTTTTTTATTTCTGGGTCAACATAGTTTATTTTACCAAATAAACTATGGGAAAATAACCAGCTAAACAAGATCTCATCATATAACCTATTCCAGCCATAAGTTTGGCCAGCATTGTTGCAGCTATTCTGATACACATTGCTATTAAATATTCGAAATGAGTAGCAAATCACTATTAGCTAAAATTTCCTTCTATTTTATTTCCTAGTTGTCTTTTGGTCTAGTCTCCTGATTCGAAGATATACACTGTAATACATATTTGTATCATTTAGCAAGTAGAACATTTGTAAATAAATAAATTAGAAAATTGAGTTTAGTTTTTGTGAAATAAAAAAGACTTCTTAGTTGCAATCTAACCCAGCAAACAAAAGATATCGGGTTTAAGAAAGGTTTTTTTAACCGAGTGTCTGAGGAATAAATGCAAAATATAATATCATATATTTCAACATAAAAACTGCGATATTAATTAATGACTTCGATTTAAACTATCAATTAGTTTCACTTTTTCTTATAACTAAATGTTCGCTGGATTTATTGTCAACAGAGCATAAATTAATAAGTGAAAAATAAATTTGATTTTAGGACAAGTGAAATAAACAAAATAATTTTTCAAGCGTGAAGAAAGATTTAGTTTTACCGCTGACATTTTATTACCCTTTTTATTCGCTTAAATTTATGAATATAGATATTTGTATGAAAGAATTATATCTATATTAATTTTGCTTTTATAAATTAAATTAATTAACCACTTTATCGTAGTCAGCAATCCTATTGTCTGTAAAAAGTATTTAAGTAGAGCGCTGCATGAGTGACTTAAACAATAAATTAAAACATTTGATTTTATTCAAGTACTGTGTTTGACTCACCCATTGTTATATGAGTGAAATGAATAGTATATTTGACAAAAGGAGTTATGCCCTGCAAAATGTGAGACTACTCCACACACGCGTGTAAAGAATACTCCTCATATGACTAGAACTGGTCCAAAACTAATCGAAATATATATATATTCGAAGATAATATGATATTGCCATCAACTGTACTTAACACTGCCTAATTTTTGTAGTATTAACATGTAGGGAAGTATAGTCGGGCATGGCCGACCATAGTATATTAAAAAAGTTATTTATTTTTCATAAAGAAACTTTTATGTTAAATTTTACCTTAATTCCGATGTATTTAAGGAATTTATTGATGAAAAATTTTTCTAAAAGAGACTTTATATGGAACTTAGGGTCAAATATGATCCAATCGTCAAAAATTGTGAGAAGAGATGTATTTTTATATAAAATTTAGTTATGCTGAATTTCATTGAAATATTTTAGAGTGGGGTTTTATAGGTCAAATAAGGACCGATCATAACAAAAATCGGCATGGTTATTTATACCTATACAAAACTTAGTACCATATTTAACATAGTTATGAGCTAAAAACTTAAAATAGAAAGGTTCAGTTGTATGGGAGCTAGGTGAAATAATGAGCCGATTGCAACCATTTTAAATGGTCCAAATTTTATCAAAGTATCTTGAAAATCGTACCTTGCGCACAAGTTTTACAATTTCTTTTAATCGACTCAAAAAGTGATTCTCCACCACC